TAGATAGATAGATAGATAGATAGATAGATAGATAGATAGATAGATAGATAGATAGATAGATAGATGATAGATAGATAGATACCGTTGATGATAGACAGACAGACAGATGGACAGAGTCAGAGAGCCTTACCATCCAAAACTTCCAATGAAGCACTGCAGATAGATTGACCAGCCTGATTGGAGGCGATACAAGTATAGTTTCCACTGTAGGTTTTTTCTACATCCAATAAGATCAGACTGTGCTGCATATTGGAACTAGCCAGTTTATAACCTGGAGTGTCCGACCTGATCCAGAGGATGTCTTCACCATGAGATTCTTCCTTCAACCATGTTACGGAGGGTGATGGAGTCCCTAAAAAAGAAAGCAGGGGGAACAGTGAGATTTTGGGACAAAGATGCTACGGAAAGACTTTTTTTTGGGGGGGGGGGATTGTTGATTTATACAGACAAAATAATAATGATGAGAAAAATGGCCACAATACGGTAGTCCTTAACTTACAATACTTCATTCAGTGACCATTCAAAGTTACAATGACACTGAAAAAAAGTAACTTATTATCCATTTTCACACTTACGACCATGGCAGCAACCCCCATGGTTACATGATCAAAATTCAGGCACTTGGCAACTGATTCATATGGCAGGGTCCTGGGTCCACGTGATCCCTTTTTAAGACTTTCTAATGAGCAATTTCATTTAAAAACCAGGTGATTAATTTAACAAATGCAGTGGTTCACTGAACAACTGTGGAAAGAAAGGCCATAAAATGGGCCACAAGTCACTTAATAAACTGTTTCGCTTACAAAAAAATTTTGTGCTCAATTATAGTCATAAGTCAAGGGCTGCTGTAGTCAAAAAGGGTGGGTGTGATGGCCTTGAAGCTTGTTTACCTTCCACCTTTACTGAAAGGGTGATGCTGGCCCCTCTCCTCACTTTCTTGTTGGTAAATCTTTCCAGGAATCTCGGTGGCACCAGCTGTTCACAAATGTCTGAAAATCAAAATATTTGAAGCAGAGGACGAATTGTGAGAGAGAAAAATAAGCTCCCAACTCAGAATAAGCTTGCTTGGTTTTCCATGGACCAAGCATCCAAACTGCTTTGATTTGGGCAAAGCAATCCTCAAGTAAAACACCCGGAGCTTCAGTCACACTTTACTTTGATATCTCACCTGTTTCATTGTCTTACCTTTTTCTGGTTGTCTGTCCTCACCAGCTCCTGCAAGAAGACAAAAAAGGGACTGAATGAAATTACTTCATTATATTTCTCTCCCTCTCTCTTTGCTTTCTCTCTCTCTCTGTCTCTCTCGCTCTGTATGTTTGTCTTTCTCTCTCACTCTCTCTCTNAGGAAAGCCACACACACACACACACACACACACACACACACACACACTCCAGGAAAGCCACCGGAACCTGAGGAGGGCAAAAAACAGGCCCAATGGACCATCAGGAGTTCAGAAACATGGGGTTGCTTTGCATTATGAGTTCCAGCAAGTACCAGCACTGTCATGTGTGAGCCCTCACTTTTTTGGCACCAGCAACAAAATTGTTAGCCATCACTGCTGTAGTGTAATAGATCCTGCACACCATTCATCTTTTTTTAACAACCCCATAATCCCTTGTTGGGTGGGGTCTGGGCGACTGAATGGAACTAGCAGGAGTGTTTACTGGCCGGATGCCCTTCCTGTCACCAATGCAGAGTTTTGTTCAGCAGATATATTCTCATTATGCCTAGAGAGAGAAATACATCTGCCTTTACCTGGAATCAAATTCACAGCCTCACTGTGAGGTGAGAGCTCTACCTCTCGGCCACCGCACCATTCTAGTTGATCCTGCACATGATGGGAGTTATACACGATGACTTCTAAATCCCTTCCTATGCTGTGATTCTATGAAATTATTCTTATACACCACCAGCTATCAGAGTAGGACATGGGCCCTCTGAGAGGAGCAGTTTGCTCCAACAGGAAGGGTTTTCACCAAGCTCACCTTAATTTCTTCCGATATTCATCCTCTGAAACGGATTCTCCATGGAACTCTGGAACATCGGGGACGCCCCACTCTGCAGACAGCTAATATTAAAAACAGGGGAAAAAACACTATATAAGGATTTCTGCCTTGGGCAGGGGATTGGGCTAGAAGACCTCCAAAGTCCCTTCCAGGCTTAGGATGTTATGATCTACCAGGAAGAGAGACAAAAGACAGGTTTCAGGTTTTCCAACCAAGGTTATCACACAAGGTGCAAAGGGTAGGAAGTAGCTGACTTACAGCGGTGGCTTGGGAGTCCCCATCTCAACTTAGGAGCCCATATTTTGGACAGATGCTCCTGTACAAAACTTTTTCCATTCAATGTAGGCTGGTCCTGCCTGAATCTTTCACCACCCTGCTACCACATGCTAGACTGTCTCTCTTTCTATAGTCTGCATATGAAGCCTGGTGTGGTGAGGTAGACAGCCCCACAACCACTTCTATGGATCTGGTGCTTAATGCCTAGGTAGATTCCTTCACAGACACACACACACACACACACTTTGGAGATGTGACTGCCTTCCTGCCAATGCCTCCTGCTTAACCTGCTCTTGATTTAGAACAACAAGAGTGCTGCCTTTTTTTCTGCCCTGCCCTCCCTACTTCTGAAATGGAAATTTCCCTTCTTTTCCTCCTTCTTCTACCCAGGCTGCATCAAAGAAGGTGCAAAGGGGGACACCTGACTTTCCAGTGCTAGTGTAACTTCGAATGGTCATTAAATGAATGGTTATAAGTTAAGGACTTCTTGTGTTTCACATATATGAACTATAGTAACTCTTTACTGAAACTGCTGGGTAGAAGTTGGCTTAATTATTCATGGTAACCTAGAGACATAAGATGAAGCAATTTTTGAAGAACCCCACTCCCAACTATTTATAAGCCTCACCTTTAACTTCTTATCCAAGTAGGCTGGAGAAACCCAACCTTGCCTCGATGGGCTTGACTTGGTGGGTTTGGTCCTGACCAGCCACTTCAAAGGATGAGCGGAGTCTAAAACCTCCACATATTGGCCTTCCTTCAGAGTGATGGTTTCACGGTCTGACCCCATGGGGGTATAGTCAGCAATGACCATGTAGATGTCAAAAATCTATGGAGAGAAAGACGGTTGAATTGAATGGAATAGAATATAACAAATAAATAGAGAATCCAGCTGGGATGGGATGGGATGGGATGGGGTGGGGTGAGGTGGGGTGGGATAGAATAGGATAGGATAGGATAGGATAGGATAGGATAGGATATATACTTTATTGAACCAAGGGTCACTTTCTTAAATGTTCTTGAGATTAGTTCAGAGTTTTAGAGATTAGTTTGGGTGCAAACAACCAGACTCACCCAGGCAGAGTTCAAGCTGACTACTTTATTGCATTCTATCTATAGTACAAGAATCTGCATAGACTGGCAGCTTTCACCTGGGAACGATCAGATAAGGTATCAAGGCATTTAGGGAGGGTTATAAGCCTCTTGTGTTTAATGATGATGATGATGATAATAAATGCAGGCTAATTTCTTGCTTCATCCCTCCTCCCATTGGGAGGATTTCTCTCCAACAGCCATTCCATTAGATCATGGGTCATGGCAGAAGAGAATATCGATTGAACCAGGGGTCCTCCCCGAACTAGGGGCCACTACCGAGTCATGGCCTTTTTGGAACCAGACCGTGTGAGCAGTGGGCTGGTGCACATGACTGCATGCATACACATGTGCGTACACATTGAACTGCACACATTGAGCTCACTACTTGGGTGGCCCAATGCCCCTCTCCTCACTCCACTCGGCTCCCAATCCACAAAGGTTGGGGACCGTTGTTCTCTGACTTGGGTTTTTTTTTTGGGGGGGAGAGGGGGAGGCAGACGTTTCATGACCCATCTAGGTAACACCATCAATGCTAGAAGGGAGGAAGGTTTTCAGAGGGAGGAGTAGGAGGAGGACTGTGTGGTCCTTGAAAACTGAACTTAGTTGTTTTCATGCAGATGTCTGATTACCAAACCAGGTTACACGATCAGTGCTAGAAGAAGCTGTATTAAACAGAGAGGAAACCCCTCTCTCTGCTAGCATTGATGATGCTACCTAATTTGATAATGAAATGCCTGCAAGAGCCGAGGTGGCGCAGTGGTTAGGGTGCAGTACTGCAGGCCACTTCAGCTGACTGTTATCTGCAGTTCAACGGTTCTAATCTCACCGGCTCAAGGTTGACTCAGCCTTCCATCCTTCCGAGGTGGGTGAAATGAGGACCCAGACTGTGGGGGCGATATGCTGACTNTCTATTCATCCATCCATTCATCCTTCTTTCCTCTATTTCTATCATCCATATAGCTTCCATCCATCCATCTATCTATCTATCTATCTATCTATCATTTATTCATCCATCTATCCCCCCTCTCTCATCTATTTCTATTTATCTACCATCCATATTTCTTTTATCTGCCTATCTACCATCGATCCATCGATCCATCCATCATCTGTCTGTCTGTCGGTATCATATCTCTCTCTGTGTGTGTCCATCCATCCATCCATGCATCATTTCTGCATTATTGATAGATTGCCCCGGATAAAATTCCTTACTACCAATTCGGCCACAGTCCTGCAGAAGTATCTGGGCGGGTGGGCAGAGCCTACAGCCCCCACTACTACCGGTTCAGCTAATCTGGGCCAAACAGGCAGCAACCCACCTCTGATCCAAGGCATCATTCCTTAACAACTGCCTATTGGAACAGAATTGCTTTAGGCTGCCTCTGGAACACCTATTAGAGTAAGAAGTTGGGGATTTTTGTTTCTCCCAAAAGACACCATATTGTGAAAAATCCAGACTCTGTAGTTCTGCTGTGCAGATTTGGCCTATCAAGGAAGCATTTCAGCCTGTTCACCTTTGACTATGAGCCTGGCTGACGAATACGCAGACCCAGCAGAGTTGGTGATGAAGACAGAATATTGGCCATCGTCCTCTTTGGTGACCTGCAGAACTTCCAGAGCGTGAAATTCGCGGCTGTCTGTCCTTTGGAGATGATCGCTTGTGTGTAACGGCTGACCGTCTTTGAACCAATAGAGACGGGGCTCAGGGAAACCTGGGTGGATGCATAACAAACACACAGAGAGATGTACGAGTTATAAGACTAATCAAGGAATCCATCATTGTTCTATTTAACACCCCATTCAGTTACTTGGCTAGCCACAGTGTGGCATTAATTCCTTTCGGTCATTCAATGCTGAGAATCAGGGATTTCTTGCAAATGGACAAATATAAATGTCCCAGGATAATGTTGCAGGGTCTAATCTGGGTCAGTCAGTGGGATGAGAGATTTTGTCTTCCGAGCTTTCGTACTTGTGCTGGAGTCCATCCACAGAGAACTTCTCAGTAGCAGAGCATGTGTTTGGGGCTGTTCTGCATTTATATGGTGTTTGTTATGTGTGGCTTTTTAGTTGTTGATTGTATGGCTGTCTATTAAATTATTAGCTACTGTTTATTTGTGCTGCCAAGTCCTCACTTCCTAAGTACTTAGTAAGCTGGTGGTGAATCAGCATGCCTATTGACTGACAAGGGATCCATTTCACAGGCTTCAATCACTTTCCTGGCTGTTTTTGTCTCTGCTCATCCAATAACCTTAGTAGTTTCAAAACCGAATGTATGCCTTTCTTCATTGCAATGTGAGGCTACCAATGGCTTTGGTCTCCTCACCTGATTGCTCACTTCTGTTCTTACAATCTGGTGGTTAGCTTCCTCCGTGTCTGTCCTACATAGTCAGAGGGGCAATCCATGCAGGGGAGATTTCTTACGTCAGAATGTGCCAGTCATTGGTGAAGACTTTCCTGCCTAAGGTGGGACTAGAACTCATGGTCTCTCATTTCTAGCCTGGTGCCTTCACTACTACACCAAACTGATTCTCCTATTGCAATGCAAGCTGCAGCCCTTTTGAACATGCATCGTAATGTCGGTTGCATACAAAAAGGGTGGAACTTGCATCACAATAATGAGTAATGAATATTCAGCATAATGAAATTCTTCTGTTTAGAGCTGCTTAATGGTGCAATGCCTCAGAATCCTTCTGAGTACACAGTGGCTGGAACTGAACCCAGAACTCGAGGTGGAGTGAGACGAAACCAAAATCAAGAAACAATTTTCAACCCACATTGTCAGTCTCATCCACTGCCTGAACAACTCCAAAAACAAAGACCAGCATGCAAGTAGTGATTGTGTGAATGGGATCTACCCCAAACTATGAAGCTGCGGAGAGGGGAGGGGGTTTGTTGAAATATCTGTTACCTTTCACTTTTAAATGGAATTTGGCAACAGGGGCTCCAGGCGCCACGTGAATATCGTGAAGTTCATCCATGATTTGAGGCAACTGTTCCTCTTCTGTTGTTGACTCCACTCCTTCTTGTTCCCGGCTGGTTCAAGAGATGATAGGAAAGAGGGGGAAGGCAACACAAATGATTGACATGTAAAGCCCACTTCCCAATATAATTAGAATCTAGATAGACTAGTATGTTTAAAAGGGACTTTGGAGGTCTTCTAGTCCAATCCCCTGTTCAAACAGGAGGCATGCAGGAAAGGGAGGTGTGCTCCCTGTTCTGATTCGGAAGTCAGTACTGGTAGTCCTCGATTTATGACCACAGCTGAGTCCAAAATTTTTGTTGTTAAATGAGACAGTTAAACGAATTTTGCCCCATTTGATGAACTTTCTTTGCCACATTTATTAAGTGAATAATTCCAGTTGTTACGTTACTTATATGATCGCTATATAAATCTGGCTTCCCCATTGTCTTTGCTTGTTAGAAGGTCTTAAAAGAGGATCGTGTGGTTCGAAGTCATTGCCACCATTATAAATGTGAGTCAATTGCTAAGCATCTGACTGTAAATCACATGACCATGGGGATGCTATAATGGTTGTAAGTCTGAAAAATGGTCATGTTACTTTTTCAATGCTGATGTAACTTCAAACAGTTATTTGGATTGTAAGTTGAGGACTACCAATATAGATTCAAATACTTAGAAATCTAGAGCTCATCTAGTCCTATTCCTAGCTCCATGCACTATCCACTAAACTATTTCCAGAAAATTGTAGGAGGAGTGGTAGAATCTAGGGGGAGGGTCAAAAGGGCAATCAGCCTAGAATTCCTATGTAGCCACAAATGAACTAAATCCAACCTCCCTTGAGTGCCATTGACCCTTATCTAACTCCTAGCAGGCGCTAACCATGAGTTGAGAAGATTCCTGTGCGTAAGTTTTTAGCAATCGCTAGAAATTACCCAGCTAGCTTTCATGTCTAAGGTGGAACTAGAACTCATTGTCTCCCAGTGATAGGCCCAAAGTTACCCACTGGCTTTAATGCCCAAGAGAGGACTACAACTCATTGTCTCCTGGTGATTGGCCCATAGTCACCCAGTTTTCATAACTAAAGTGAGGCTAGAACTCGCAGTCTCACGTTGATTGACCCAAAGTCATCCAGATGGCTTTCATGCCTCAGGTAGGACTAGAACTCACAGTCTCCTGGCAGTTGGCCCAAAGTCACCCAGATGGCTTTCATGCCTCTGGCAGGACAAGAACTCCCTCTGGTGATTGATCAAAAATCACACAGCTGGCTTTCATGTCTAAGACAGGACTAGAAATCCCTGCCTCCTAATGATTGGCCCAAAGTCACCATTGGCTTCCATATCAAGGTAGGTCTAGAACTCCCAAACTCCTGGTTTCTTGCTGATGCCTTAACCAGTAGGCAAAACTGGCTCTTTAAAAAACTTAACAATCAAATCAGAATTCTGCAACTATATGGAAGAGGGTGATATTCACCATTCTGGATTATTTTAATGAATGTGTGCCATTCAACAATACATCCAATGATGAAACATTTTGAAACCGGTCATGCTTTTAACATTGCAGAAATCTAACTTATTCCTGATCAGCAAAGAGTTATTGATCCTTTAAGGATCAAGACATCAAATGGGTTAATCAGAAAAATTCTGAGGTGCAAGATCCATTTAGTGCAAGAAAAATGTGCCACAACAAGAGAGCTGTCTCAACAATTGTGGAAGCAAACTAATCGGGGCAATAAACATATGCCCCCAAATAATATTTGATAATAGATTTCTACCCAGAGTCATTTTGAAATGAAGTGGCTGGCAAATAAATATAAAGACTTACCTGAATGATCGTTCTCGGTGCGCTGCGTGAGAATCCAAAGGAATGGGTTAATTTCAGTCTGCTTGCCTAGAAACTGAATTGAAGAAACTTGGCCACGCCTCCTCTTTCACTTGGTAGCTCAGTTTTTTCAATGGAAGGCGTGGCCATATCGAAAGATGAAAGCACCTGTGATGCCCTCCTAACCTCGAAATCTAACTCACCGTCAGAGACCCTGGGCTGAGTCGTGAATAGGCAGGGTTGGATTCTCATGCAGTGCACCAAGAAAGACCATTCAGGTAAGTCAACGGTCTTTCTCCACGTGCTGCTTAGAGAATCCAAAGGAATGGGATATTCCTAAGCATATTGACCTAAGGGTCGGTAGTTGACTGGTCCAGGGAGCCAGAGTCTGAGTGAACCACCTGCAATACCCGACGTCCGAAGGAAGCTTTGGCTGAAGCATAAACATCTAATTTATAATGTTTGATGAAGGGTGACGGAGATGACCACATCGCCACACTACACATTTCCTTGACCGAAGCTTGAGTGGATCAGGCCGTAGTCATGGCAGCACTGCATGTAGAGTGGGCTGTGAAGTGCTGGGGCAAGGGACGGGCCTGCACCCCGTCGCTTTAGTGATATAGGCTTTCAACCATCTCCCAATAGTGGTCGATGAAACCTTTTGGCCCATGGAGCTGGGGAGAAAGGTGATGAACAGGGCGTCCGACCATCAGAAGGACACTGTGCACTTGATGTAGCATCGAAGGGCCCACCGCACATCAAGATGATGCCATTTTCTCTCGCGGATATGCGTCGGTTGGCAACAAAAGTCAGGTAACACCAATTCCTGGGCTCTAAGGAACCAGGAGTTGACTTTCGTGAGAAACGAAGGGTCAAGCGGGAGGATCACCCTGTCAGGATGGAAAATACAGAGGTCGCTATGGACCGACAGGGCTGCGAGCTCCGAGACCCTCCGGGCTGAAGTGATGTCCATGAGGAAGGCCCCTTTCAAAGTCAATAGACGAAGGCTAAAAGAGCGGATGGGTTGAAATGGGGCAGATATCAATGCCTCAAGGACGATGGGTAGCTCCCAAGACAGGTAACGATGGACCGTTGGTAGCCTGAGGTTGGAGGCTCCTCTCAGGAATGAATGAACCCTGGGATGGTGTGCCAAAGAGTTGCCGATGCTGCTGTGTAACACCGTAGAAAGTGCCACCGTCTGCCTGCGTAAGGTGTTCGGTGCCAGTCCCCGATCCAGGCCATCCTGGGGGAATTCCAGGGCTTGAAGAATCGAGGTCTATCTCGGGGAAATCGCAGAAGGCCGATCATGTAGCGTTGTACATCCGCGTGGTGGAGGGGCGCCTGGCCTCCGGGTTGGTATGAATGACATGCACAGAGAAGTTGTTACATCTCAGGATGTCCCCTTCAATGGCCAAATGGCCAATTGAAGCCAGGTGTAGTAGGGCCCCTTGGCTGAGGACTATTCTGTTGTCCAGAATCCTCCAGGGGGTGGTGATGGGCAGACTGTCCAGGTCGGCGAACCAAGACCGGCAAGCCCAATGAGGGGTGACCTTCAACAGCTCCACCTACTCCAATAGGATCTTGCAAATCACTCTTGGAATGAGTGGTAGTGGTGGGAACGCATCCAGCAGCCCCCGGGGCCAGGGGCTGTGGAGAGCATCGGTCCCCTCCACTCCGGGCATCTGTTGAAGAATCGAGGCAGGCGTGTGTTGGCTGGACATGCAAGTAGATCCACTGTCGGGATGCCGAACCTGCTGGTCAGTTCGTGGAACAAGTCCGGGTGAAGCCACCACTCCACGTGGTCCACAGTCGATCGACTCGGCCAATCCACCTATATGTTCGTGGAAGCGGAAATGTGATCTGCCCTAATGGACAGAAGATGAGACTCGACCCGCAGGCAGAGTCCCTGTGCCTCCAGCATGAGCCTCTTGGAATGCATGTCGCCGTGGCAGTTGATGTATGCTTTGGCGGCCACATTGTCTGTTAGGATCAACATGTGCCGCCCTGCCACCAGGTCCCTGAACTCCCGAAGGGAGAGATGGATAGCCCAAAGTTCCAACCAATTGATATTGTTCATCATGTCCTGGGGCTCCAATTGGGCTACGTGGGAGTGAGTGTGAGCACCCCAACCGTACAAGCTGGCATCAGAAGTTATCATGACCCATTCCGGCTCCCTGAAGAGACAACTTTTCAGCAAGGCAGAGGAGGTCCACCAATAGAAAGAGTGGATCACTTTGGAGGACAGCTGCACCATGATGTCTGGAACATCATGCCCTTTCAGCCCTCTCTAAGCGGTTTACAGAGTCAGCATATATCGCCCCCACAGTCTGGGTCCTCATTTCACCCACCTCGGAAGG